GGAAAGGGTTAAACTGGGTGGCTCCTTGGAGGCAAGGATTCTGAGGCTCCGTCTAACATACTTTGGACATGTTGTGAGGAGAGACTGGTCCTTGGAGAGGGACATCATGCTTGGTAGGGTGGAGGGACAGCGCAGGAGGTGAAGGCCCTCTATGAGGTGGATTGATTCAGTGACTGGGATAATCGGGATGTGAGTGTCAGAGACAGTGGGATTGGTACAGGACAGAGCCGAGTTTAGGGCTGTTGTACATAGGGTCGCTATGAGTCGCAAGTGACTCAACGACACATAACAACAACAGCAGTTTACTTTCAAAATAGTTTTATTTAAAGTGTACAGGGGAATTTCATGGGACACAATTGTAGGAAATTCAGTTAGACCTCCCAGAAGCTTAGTCTTTAGCAACTCTCAGGGTGTTTCATTTCTGACCGCTTGGAGTCCTGGTTTGGTTGATTGTATTTGGGTTTTGGTAGTACACTAGAGAGTTTTTTCCTTCTTTTTAAAACTTCATTAGCCAGTTGTAAGAACTTTCATGTGGAGAATTTATGACAACTTCTTATAAAAGACTCAGTGCAAATTTCCTTCTCTTCCCCCGGGCCCCAGCAAAAAATACTTAATTTCTGATATCAGCAGGTCAGGGTATAATTATACCCTGTTCTTTGAATATTCCTTTTGGTACTTGCTATCCAGGGGATAAAATTAATTTCTAGAAGCAGAGTGAACTTGTCAAAGCCCCATTTATATAACTGAGAAAGATGAAGGATGAAGCACTATTATTTGACTTGATCAAGGGAGAAGTGCATTTGTATATCCCATCCTTCTTGGCACTTTCTTCCTACCTTTATTTTTGTCATATTATTTTCTTCCCACACATATGTAAATGATCACTTTAAATGATAATGTTAAATATTTAAATTATAGACATTAGAAAGACATACTCATGTCACTCACTCATTGAATGGGACTGGAAACCTTCCCGTAGCCAACCCCCTGCAATGAGTTTGGAATAGGTAAATCTCACAGGAGGAGATTGTCTTTCTTTTTCTGATGAAGCGTCTGGTGGATTTGAACCACCAAGTAGGTTCCTCCTTTGTATATCAGTACAACTACCTACAGAATATGCCAACAGAATTCCCTGGAAAATTACTCTGTATAATTCATTTGCTCAAGACAGGCATTTATTATTGGCCAAAATATGTAAATAGTTTTAGTGAATTTCTTGATATACTTAAGAGTAAGCTGGAGGAGAATAGAATTTTTGCAATAAATATCTGAAAGATATATACTTATTTATTTATTTTTTTTAATTTATTTTATTTTATTATTTTTGTGTGCGTGTACCGTCAAATCAGATCTGACTGGTACAGGAGGAGATTGTCCCTCCTTACCCGGCAGAGCATCTGGTGGATTTGAACCGTGCGCCTCTGGGATTGTAGTTGCAGCTCCTTGCCACTAGGCCACCAGAGCTCCCCTGAAAGATATATACTTAATAGGGATCTTAAAAATGTATGCTGTTGTTTGTGCTTTCAAGTTGACTATGAATCCAACTGACCTTATGAACAACAGATCAGAACCTTGCCTTATACCACACCATGTTCACAATTTCAAACACATTGTTGAGAGTCACTAGATCAATCCATATTACTAAAGTTCTTCTCTTTCTCTGACCCTGTGCCTTTCTTCGCATGTTTTCTTTTTCCAAGGACTGACTATTCCTGAAAATATGCCCAAATTATATATGACCACGTTTCAGTCCTTGCCTCTATGGAACACACCCTGGTTGCACTTTTTCTCCAAGACAGATTTGTTTGTTCTTTTTCATAGGCTGTTCAGTTCTCTTCACCCAGACTATAATACAAAGGCATTGATTCTCCTTCTGTTATCCCTATTCATTGTCCAACTTTCATATGCATATCAATTAATTGAAAATACTTTGGCTTGAATCAGGTCTACCTTAGTCGTTAAGCTGACATCCTTGCTCTAATTTAGCACTTTGGAGAGGTCCTTGACCACAGATTTTCCCAATGCAACATCTGTCTTGATTTCATGACTGCTGCTACCATGGGTATTGATTGTTTATCCAAGTAAAATGAAATAATTGACAACGTCAGTCTTCATCTATCATGATGTTTGCCTGTTGGTCCATTGGTAAGGATACATAGCTAAAATTTCTATATAAACATTTCAAGTTTATGTATCAGTAAGTTTGTATTGTTAATGCATAGTTTTTTTCAAATGTACAAATAGATCTTTTGATTATTTAGCAGGTAACATCTAAAGGTACTGGTTTAAATCCTAATGCCAAAGTATGGCAAGAAATTCCTTCTGGAAATACAGACACCACTGCAGTTACTCATGGAACGGAAAGCTCTTGGCATGAAACAGCAGCCACTTCAGGGTCTCATCCTGAGG